ACAAATGCCCATGTGAAGTTTAGACAGCATAAACTAATGCCACTTACAGATGAGTTATTTTGTTTACATGAAAGACGCAATGCTCTGTAGCGTAATTTACTTTGTTAGTAAATCAGCAAAATAAAGTTTGCACCTTATTTTCACCCAGAAGAGGATGGGTTCCTCTCATGGATTCTTCCTCATGATGTCTCAGGGAGTTTTTCCTTACCACTTTTAATTCTGGCTGTTCATTAGGGATCTAAATCTGCATCACTGCTTTGTGACAATGTCTATTGTTAAACGGTCTATACAAGTATTTAACTGAAGCTTTAATTGAAATAATGTATGAAATTAATAGTGATTTAACTCTCCCTTGCTCAATGTGATAATAATATTCTCTAGTATGCACATGCCAAGGAAATTGTAACTGCCGCCAAGCTCTCTGGCATATCGTCTTTGCAGCTTTGTGTTTCTGTCAGCTGTTATATTACTTATTCTCTGTTCAAATTCTGCCAGATACAGTGCCCTCTAGTTTGCAGTTGTTTGATATCCATGAGAGCAGAGTATTTTTGTGAATCTTTTGAACAAACGATTAAAAGGTTAAACAATAAAGACAATTTTTCACAGCCTTCTTTGCTCATATTTAACAAGGGGCCCAATATTAGTAGAGGGCACTGTAGCTTGTTCAATCTTTGGCCCTATTTTTCTCGACATATGTGTGTAAGATCTGGATCCACTGCCAATCGAGTCAGTGTTAATCCAATTTCCCTTTCAAATGGAACTTCGACATTGCATTTAGCAGTATGGGAACGCCTTGCGCGTGACCGGTATCTGAAGCTTGTGTAAAATCATGCCTCTACTTATAGGCCTGCCATGATCAGGTGATGTGGCAATTAAGCGCGTCGCATGATATATATATGGCACCTGTGAACCACGCTGCCAGCCTTATTATCTTCAGTGAGACTGCATGTCTGTTGTTTGTGTGACAAAAACGCTTCATTTCTACTCGATATTTTCTCAAAATCTCTTCAATTTTCTATACCTTTTTAAAGAAAAGGAGAGGTAAGAAATGAGCGAGAAAGAGTTAAAGAAGTGTGTAACGTGCTCCCGTTTCATCACGGGGGAAAAGTGCACACTTTCTGGGTGAAGTGTTAGTGCTGTAGTATGCGATGGCAACCTCGGGAGGCTGCGCATGGTAACGCTACATTAAGCAGCTCGACTCGCGCTCTTCTCAAAAAAAAAAAAACGGGAGCCGAGCGAGTCGAGTTTCAAAGCCTCGCGGATCTGGGCCGGCCGCTGCCGAGGCAGCCAACCGTCTCAGGTTCGGGGGATCTCTTAAATCTGGAAGAGGAGCCAGAGACGAGCGCTGCTCTATCTCTCTTTCTGTCTTCCGGGTTCGGCTCTCCGCTGGATTTTGGAGTTCGCGTCGCGACTCCTCCTCCCGCTATGTAAAGCCAAAGGGGTAATAACGCCCCCTCTCTGACTCCGAAGAGTTAGAAGGATGTGTTAAAAACTGAGAGCAGCGTATAAAGAGCTGCTTGAAGTGATTACCCAGTGAAAGTAAATACTTCACACTGCAGAAACTCCCCTGTCTTCCAGAAGTTATGACAAAATCTCACTTCTGGCGGAAAACCATGCTTAAGCCATAGTCATAACTCCACGATGTTGGATTATTTGGCCATTGTGGAAATGAATGGCATGGCTATTTAGCTATGCCTGAGGTTGAGGAGGCGCTTGCTAGCTACCTCTCTCCACCGATGGCAGGTAATTACAGGGGCCGGCTTGCATCCAAGGTGGCATTGGTGGGCAAGCCTTTGCAGTAGTAGTCTTGCTTGTGGGTCACTGCAGACATTGACAGGCCTACCAAGCAGACCTGCTGAGTGAGCTCGACTTATGGCAAAAAAAAAAAAGCTGTCTCAAGCTCATCCGGGTGTCCACGAGCGGACCCTGGGCCAGCACTTGTATGGGGGAAACCAAGAAGGCGAGTATGGCAGCCCGCCAACCCCCGCAGACAGCCAGGGGAACCGGGCGGCCACAGTCGCGGTCTGCTGTTGGGCCTGATCTGAGAATGGTCATAAAGGCCAAGCAGGCAAAGACGAGCAGTCCTGAGGGGCTGTGGAGGGATGTATCCGGGGACATGAGGTTGTTAGGGCAGGTAAGCAAGCTGTCACAGGGAAACGGAAATCTGATGCTTCTCTCCAATAGAATGTGGAATAGCTAACGTCACTAGAAGACCATCGGGCAGCGTGCAAGCTACGGCCAAATGTGTCTCCATGGGTTCTGTCTACCATAGAAAGGGTTACCGGGTCCAGTTATAGCTCGACCCCCCCGTTCACAGGTGTGCTCACCACAGAAGTCAGCACAGACCAGAGCCCGACGTTAGCGCAGGAAGTAAGCTCCCTTTTGGACAATGGGGTCCTGAAACATGTACCCCGTTCCCTCAGGGAGGGAGGTTTACAGCCTTTATTTCCCGTTCCGCAAAAAAGTGGGAATATGCGGCCAATTTTAGATCTGCATCATCTGAACCGTACTCTTCGGACATACAGGTTCAGAGACTGATGTTCAAACGTATCGTGCCACAGATCCAGTTCGCGAACTGGTTTGTGGCAATAGGTCTAAAAGGTGCATGTTTCGCATAGGATTATTGCTAGCTTTATCCCCTCGCACCTTCACAAAGTGCATGGATGTCACTCTGGCTCCATTGGGACTCCAGGGCATCTGTGTACCAAGCTACCTGGACGACTGGTTAATTCTAGCACGATCCAGGGAGCTGGCGGTTCAACATTGAGATGTTGTTCTCGCCCACGTGAAAAACTGGGGGCTCAGGTTGAATCTCAGAAAAGTTGGTTTTCCCCAGTGCAGTGGACAACTTTTTCATGGGTTATAGGATTCTACTACGATGAGGGCGTATCTATCCCCAACAGGTGTAGTGTCAATCCTATCAACACTGAGCTAGATAAAGCTGTATCTTGGGAGCATAGGGTGGAATCCACACATGTGGCTGAGGTCACATCTGTATGCTGGCCATGTAGGTCTGGCCCCATTTGAGCCCTTAGGGACCTACCGTCTCAAAAGCCGCAGGGTTAATTGATCATCCTTGGCAAGAACTAAGGAAGCTGTGGGTATGGCCCCTGAGGGGCACCAGCTAATAGATTCTGGTCGCACGACTGAGGTGGTAGAGACCATGTTTCTACAATAACATTTCTCAGCAGGGTGGGCTCCTTCTACAATCAGGGTTATGTGGCCGCCATTTCGGCCAGCCACGCCCCTGTTGAGGGAGCCTCTGTGGGGCAACATCCTCTAACTGCGAGGTTCATGTGTGGTGTCAGATGGCTGAGGCCTATCTGCAGGCTGTGCATACCTTCCTGGGACCTTCTGTGGTCCTGGAAGGTCTGTCAGCTGCCCCTTCGAGCCCCTAGAGTGGATCCCATCTACAAGGAAATTGTATGCGCTCAAGTGGCGCCTTTTTGTCTGGGGGTGTGAGGAACGTCAGCTACACCCAGTGAACTGCGCAATCGCTACAGTCCTGGAGTTCTGACAAGAACGTTTCTCAGCTGCTTGGCTCCTTCTACTATCGGGGTTACGTGGCTGCCGTTTCGGCCAGCCCTGCCCCTGTTGATGGAGCCTCTGTGGAGCAACGTCCTCTAACTTCGAGTTTAATGAGTGGTGTCAGACGGCTGAGGCCCATCTGCAGGCCATGCATACCTTCCTGGGACCTTGCTGTGGAATGGAAGGTCTGTCAGGGACCCCATTTGAGCCCTTAGAGTCAGCCTCTGAGAAGCTTCTGACTCTAAAGGTAGCTCTTTTGCAGGCCCTGACATCTCTCAAGCGAGTGGGAGGTCTACAAGCTCTCCCTGTTGCCCCTCCTGCCTTGACTTTACCCCTAGATAAGCCAAGTCCTTCCTGTACCCTAGGCCGGATTAGATTCCTAAAGTGCCTACATTGGCTGCCCACCCTGTGGTGTTGCAGGCTTTCTACCCTCCTCTGTCCTCTGACCAGAACAAGAGAGGATGCACCCGTTGTGTCCAGTAAGCGCTCTCTGTACTTACGTCCACCGCTCCGGCCAGTGGCGTAAGTCAGAGCAGCTACTAGTCTGCTTTGGCAGCGACAGGAAAAGTGATGCTGTGTCAAAGCAGTTCATCTCTACTGGGATTGTTGAAGGCTTTGTCCAAAGGGGTTTCCTTGCAGGATGTGTGTGCAGCTGCAGGGTGGTCTATGCCTCACATGGTCATTTGTTATGACAGCCTGGATATTCATCCCTCCCCAGGCTCGAGTGTCGTGCACTGACCCTCGGGTTTGGGTATTTTTGAACAGGCTGTACCCTCGGTATGACTGAGTGGGTATTCCCGTTCCCATACTGCTAAATGCAACGTCGAAGTTCCCTTTGAAAGGGAACGTCGGGGTTACGCATGTAACCCTGTTCCCTGAGAAGGGAACGAGATGTTGCATAGCGCTGTTATACCGGGGCTGGCCTATGAATTGCGTCTTCGCTTCAGATAATAGAGGCTGGCGGCGTGGTTCACAGGTGCCATATATATATCATGCGACGTGCTTAATTACCACGTCACCTGATCATGGCAGGCCTATAAGTAGAGGCATGATTTTACACAAGCTTCAGATACCGGTCACGCGCAAGGCGTTCCCATACTGCTAAATGCAACGTCTCGTTCCCTTCTCAGGGAACAGGGTTACATGCGTAACCCCGACGATCTAATCTAGTTCAAAATATAACACTCTCACTCACTTATATGTTAAATCACACAGCTGTTTCTCACTACCACTCATTCACTTCTCTGTATATACACGTGACACTTCTGGCAAGGTCTGACATTTCTGTGTGTATTTCTGTGCATTGTTTTCCCTGCTTATTATCTCTGTTTTTTAATTTACGGTTTCAGCATCCACTTTAATATTTATTGCTTTGTTTTGCCTGATGATCGGCCTCTGCCTGTTTGACCATGACTCACTTTATGATTTGGTATGGTAATAGATGGTTTACATTTAAACAATTTTTAATGTGAGGCAGTGGTGGCTTGGCGGTTAAGGCTCTAGGTTACTGATCTAAAGGTTGGGGGTTCAAGCTCCAGCGCTGCCAAGCTGCTACTGTTGGGCCCTTGAGCAAGGCCCTTAACCGTCTCTGCTCCAGGGGCACTGTACCATGGCTGACCCTGTGCTTTGACCTCAACTTCCTAACATGTTGGGGTGTGGGAAGAATAGCATTTCGCTGTGTATACAGTGGGGGGGAAAAGTATTTGATCCCCTGCTGATTTTGTATGTTTACCCACTAACAAAGAAATGATCAGTCTATAATTTTAATGGTAGGTTTATTTGAACAGTGAGAGACAAAATAACAACAAAAAAATCCAGAAAAACGCATGTCAAAAATGTTATAAATCGATTTGCATTTTAATGAGGGAAATAAGTATTTGACCCCTCTGCAAAACATGTCTTAGTACTTGATACTGACTTAGTAATTACCAGAGGACAACTGGGTGAAAGCGTTGTGGTCAGATGAGACCAGAATGGAGCTCTTTGGCATCAACTCAACTCGCCATGTTTGGAGGAGCATGGATGGATAGATGGATGGATAGATAGATAGATAGATAGATAGATAGATAGATAGATAGATAGATAGATAGATAGATAGATAGATAGATAGATAGATAGATAGATAGATAGATAGATAGATAGATAGATAGATAGATAGATAGATAGATAGATAGATAGATAGATAGATAGATAGATAGATAGATATTATTGTTCTTCATTTAATTTTTATGTTATAATTTTACATTGAGGGAGGAAAGCATTTCTGACATGATTTATCGAGGTTTATTTATTTATTTATTTTTTTACATCACAAAAACCTGCCAATTTTAACAGGGGTGTGTAGATGTTTTTTATCCATTGTACCTTTTATAACAAATGTAAACAATTCAGGTAACAACAGTCAAATCAACAGATGTCCTAGGAGAATGATCAGTTTCCTGAGTGGAGTGGAACCTTTACATGACGTGTGTTTAATATAAACTGATCAAGTTGAACATGCCTAGTGACTAATTTTGTCTGAGTCCATTGAGGAGTAGTATTGTGCCTCTGGTTGTATTCCAAATTAACTGTCATGGCATTCAGAAATACATAAATACTGGGTTCTGGATTTTCTGGTGTGATGGACCTGAAAAATCAGGGATGACCTAAAACAATAGGGCAGTGCAGGATTGTATGCAGTATGTTTATTGTAACTTATTGTACTAATTTTCAAATTATACCAAGGCGAAATTGATGTCATCATGGAATGGAAGTGGAAGAGGAGTGGAAGAGGACTCCAGTGGCAACCTGTGAAGCTCTGGTGAACTCCATGCCCAAGAGGGTTAAGGCAGTGCTGGAAAATAATGGTGGCCACACAAAATATTGACACTTTGGGCCCAATTTGGACATTTTCACTTAGGGGTGTACTCAATTTTGTTGCCAGCGGTTTACACATTAATGGCTGTGTGTTGAGTTATTTTGAAGGGACAGCAAATTTACACTGTTATACAAGATGTACACTCACTATTTTCCATTGTAGCAAAGTGTCATTTCTTCAGTGTTGTCACATGAAAAGATATAATCAATTATTTACAAAAATGTGAGGGGTGTACTCAATTTTGTGAGACACTGTGTGTGTGTGTATATATATATATATATATATATATATATATATATATATATATATATATATATATATATATATATATCCATCGATCTTCAACCACTTACTCCTTCTTCAGGGTCATGGGGAACCTGGAGCCAATCCCAGGAATCATCGGGCACAGGGTGCCAGTCCATCGGCACAATCACATACACACTCATTCATACACTACGGACAATTTGGACACGCCAATCAGCCTACCATGCATGTCTTTGGACTGGGGGAGGAAACCGGAGTACCCAGAGGAAACCCAGCAGCACGGGGAGAACATGCAAACTCTGCACACACAGGGCCCCGGCAGGAATCGAACCCCAGACCCTGGAGGGGTGAGGTGAAACCACCAGGCCACCCTGTGCCATATGTATATATATATATATATATATATATATATATATATATATATATATATATATATATATATATATATATATATTATATATATATTTTATTTTTTTTATTTTATAAATATATGAGTATGTGTGCGCATTTTATATTTCACCAATTACATTCTGCCATTCTTCGATTTTTCTCCTGTTTATTCTGCTGCTTTTTGTTGCTTTTTCTCATTAGATTAGATTATTGCAGTGTGATAGATATGAATGAAGGCAAGACGTGCCATTATTCAACTCGCAGTTGGTTAGGAAATGCCAGAACTATCTCAAATTTCTCTTTGAAACGTAGTTTCATAAGTGAAACCCTCAGAATAGAGATCAACTAAAGCTGCACGGGGCAAATGAAATCAAGTGATGATCCACACCCCAGTCTCAGCACAGTACTAAAAAACACATTCCCTCCGCAAAGCAGCATGAGCCAAATCTTCAAACAACGCATAATCTATCTACATCTTGTGAGCACTGAAATCAATCATTACTCTCTCTTTTTAGCTGATATGAAAGACAGTACGTGATATAGAAGCTCTGCATAGTCAGTTTACCTGCTATTACACTTTTATATGACTTGCATACGCGTGGTGAGGAGTGTGCAGAAATACACGCACATCCTCACACATAAGCAAAACTTGATAAATCCCATTCGATGCATAGAAACGAGTGCATGCATAGTTGACACAAAAAACTATGCGTACAGAAGTCAAAAGTGAAGTTTAATATGGATGCTGTTGAGATAAAGGTGATGCGGGATATAGATGAAATGAGTTAATCATATAAGCTGTATTAACAGCCAAACCATGGCCTTATACTATATTGTACTATTAATTTACTCTGTACGAAAACAGGCATTCCATTTTTATCACAAGCAAGCTTATGCACAATTATTTTAACTGACACACTCTCTCTTAAAACTCATTTTCAGTGTATCTTCTGTTGTGCAAGGCTACATGAACATACACTTAATACAACGCCACCACCTGAACTCACTTTAGCCCTTAGTAGCAGATTGTTACAAAGAGGTCTAGAACTCACGTCTCAGACCGAACAAATTCACCCCTTTTATCATGCTGCCACTATACCATCCTAACGTTATAAAAAAAATAAAAATACAGCTCTTGTTTGCTGTAATAGAATATGTTTTTATGCTTTCATGACTCTATAATTGTCATAGTTAACACTGTGAAAGATTTTAATCTCTGAAGTGCTGTACTGAGCAATAGTTTTCTCTCTCTGGCTTGGTTTAATTGGATTTGTGTTCAGCTTTCTAGCCTAATGGCTTCTGTTGTGCTTCAGGCTTCTATGAGCATTGGTACAAACAAAGCAAATCCTAACGCATATGGTTTTGAGCCACAAATAAAAAAGCATAAGAAATTAAAACGGCATTTAAATAGAAGCCTCAAGGCCACGCTACCGCCTAACAAAATCTGTGTTGAGTATGAAGCGGACAGCTCGATCAAACTCTGTGAGAAACACCAATTTGATGAGCTGTATTAATTAATAAATAAATTAATTAATTGATTAATTAATATATTTTGTTTAGAGTTTTTTTGGCAACTGTTGTTGAGAATCAGAAGTGTCTGCTGGATTATTTGAAACTCCCTAAAAGTAATTTAAACTATGTCACGATTTCCCTTCGCGGTAAGCACTGGAGCATGCAGCGTGCTCCAAAGAACAAGCACGCGCTTCCGGATTTTCAGTGACACTAACTTTGTTTACTTTCTACACGTGCATCTGTTATAGTTTATGTCCTGTCTCAGCCCCTGTATTGTCACTGGTTGTTTCCCGTATATGTCATCATTAGTCTCAGCTGTTTTGTGATCACCCTTGATTACATTTGTCATTTAAACCCCTCGTGTTTCTTTGTACGTCGCGAAGTACTGTGTGAGATTACCAAGCCTTTGTACCTTGTTCCTCGTTTAGTTTCATAGTCTTTGATCTTGTTTCTCGTTTCTTGTTACGTGCTTTTGCCTTGTCTGTTTAATGCCCGTGTGCAGATCACCTGACCCATTGCCTGTTTTTGACCATGCTTTCACGTTTCACCATTTGGATTTGTCTGCCTGCCTCTCTTTTTTTGCATTTGCATCCATCCTAGCCAACTTCAATGAACATAATCTTAATCAAGCAATAAATGAAACGGATAGTCCATTATTCGTTAGCTTGGCCCCTGTCACTTTTACTAAATAGGAAATCATGAAACTTTATTATTTTCTACTAACTGCTGTACAAAATACTAGAATAGATAAAACAGAAGGCTACATGTGTAACCGTTATTCTATGAGGAACACCAGTGGAGTTGTTCAAATGCCAACAGTAAAGTCATTAAACTGCTTATGTAGCTTATAAAAGGTCTCCGCTATGTCACGCTTATCCTCTGGCCATCAAGCTGAGTGACTAGATGAGATGGAGGCTAGGTGGCCTCCATTATTAGAACCAAAGTTACATACATAACTTACTCATTTCATTCCAGACTGTTGGTTTCTTTAGGAATTAGTCATAACAACTACTGATGGTGTACCTCGCCAGACAATAATGGACAGTACTCGTAAATAGTGCCAATATGGCTTCCTATCTTAGCATTTTATGTGACGTCACACTGTATAATCACTTTTTAGGACCAACCATTTTGAGATCCAAATAGGAACGAGCAAACTGTAATTCTTCTCCAGTTCCAAAGAAAACCATCACTGATAGAGATGGTAGAACTTTATTTCTCCTGGACTTACCCAAACATGCCTCTTTGATTTCCGTCTTATCTGTTCGTCGTATGATCTTCACCACAAAGATCACAGCCAGAGGGGTCAGGAATGATATAGCCTGCATGAGTAAACAAAAAAGTAATCATGCCACAATAATCTGTTGCTGTCCATGTTTAAGTGTATATAACATTTATAATAAGCATATTTAAATTGTATCTCCTACTATTTTCACGTACAACAATCTCTAGAGTTTATACAGAATGGCACAAAAAACAAAAAACATTGAGTGAGCGTCAATTTTGTGGATGGAAACGCCTTG